ATTATACATTTTTTTATAAAGCTTATTATAAATTTAAAAATAAAAATTTCTACGTTTATTATAGTATTATAAAATATAATTATTGGACCAAATTAAAAATTCGAGTAATTTTTTATATCAATATTCTTAATAATTTTCAACATTCTTATAATATTCTCAATATTCTTAATAATTTGAATTTTTTTTTTAAATTAAATTTTAATTCCAGGGACTAGTATTTATTGTCTAATAATGTTTAAAAAGATTCATTATTCCTATTATGTAATAGATGAAAAGTGAAGGAAAAATTGAAGTTAAACGTAGAATTAATGCTATTGCAGTATGTCCAAATAGACCAGGAAACAGACATTTAAGGAGTTGAGATTGTTAATTAAATTACGTAAATTTATCTTCTTTCTTTTGCTTATTTTCTTTGGAACATTGAATTATTGCAACGATAGTTAGTGACATTTTAAATCCTCATCTTTGAAAATAATTAATTATTGTAGTTATACGTGTAGCAACAACCAGAGATACACTGTTATGAGAATTAGAAACAGAGAATATGACCTCCATTTTGCACACATTAGCGAATATTGTTTCTAAGAACTCATGCAAGATGGACAGTTTCTAACAAGTTTCGCATGATTATCACATTACAGAGAGGTATCTCTGAAGTTGTAGAAAAATTTGTAAGACCTCGTCATCTGAGAGCTTTTATATTTTCAATTGGATAATAATGCAATTTTCCAAAATCAAAATTTCACAATATTGTAAAAAGAAAAATCTAAAGAAGAATTTAGATTAGATATTATTAGATTAAATTTCGTAGAAACAATAAATTAATAAACAGTAAGTCAAAAATAATTTTCATTCAAAATTTGAAATACTTCAAATAATATTATATACACAAATTATTTAATTCTCAGATATTTTTTTTAGAAATAATTGATAAATTAATTGAAGCAATTAATACACAAAGAACACAGAATTTGAATAAATAATTTCATTCTATTATAAAATTCAAATATTATCATTGATTTTTCAAGTCTGAATATCAACATTTATTTTGATATTTTATGTAATTAATAAATAAGAAATTACTGTACAAAGAATCTCTTTTTATCTTTTATAAATATTCTTCTAAATTTAAAGAAAAGGATTTATTCAATTAAAGCAATTAATGCACAAAGAAAACAGAATTTAAATAAATAATTTCATTCTATTTTTAAACTCAAATATTATTATTAATCTTTCAAGTCTAAATATCAACATTTATTTTGATATTTTATTTAATTAATAAATAAAAAATTACTGTACAAAGAATCTCTTTCTATCTTCTATAAATATTTTTCTAAATTTAAAGAGAAGGATTTATTCGTAAATTTTGCAATATACCTTTAAACTCAGTACGTTCATAGATTCAAATTACAATTATCCTTATCTAATTCCTGAATACACAGAAATCAAAACAAATTCGTAGTTAAATATACTCTTACGTTTTCTATACAGGGTGTGTCAATAACTTCAATCAGCACAATTATCTCTATTATCTTTCAAGATACGAAAAGATTTGATTAAAATTTTTATACAAAAATTACTTAATAGACGACTATAATAAGTCAATAACAATTTATCATTGCTGCAAGGTTTCCACATACTTCAAGATTACACTTATTAATTATCTTGTAACGTACGAGTCGTTATTCTTTTTCAGCAAATGTTCTGAGATTTCAGAGATAAGAAAATATATCGTGTCGCTTAGAAAACGAATTTAAAAGGAGATAAAGTCATATTGAAACTAAAAATATTAAAAATATTAAAAATATTAAAAATTAAAAATATTAATACATTATGGTCCCTTTACACTACAATTATTATGAATAAACTTTCCATGTGTATCTCTAAAAATAAAATAATTAAAGTGACAGAAGTTGAAGCTAAAAATATTGAAAATATTAAAAAATAAAAATATTATTAATACATTATGGTCCCTTTACACTACAATTATTATGGATAATTTTTTTATGTATATCTCTAAAAATAAAATAATTAAAATGACAGAAATTATCGATGCACCTTGTATATAACAACAGTCAACATGTCAACACAACGATCATGATAACGAAAACAGAGTGAAACTTCCTATAGCCAAGACTAAGAAACCTCCGAAGCTTGGCGCGTGACATGTCCGATTTAAATCTTGCAAAAAGTACCTCAGGGTCGACGCGAAATAACAGAGATTGCATTATCGATTCGGAAGATCGCGTTTCCACTCGTGCCTCTTGTTACAGGAAGCATTTGACAGAAACATGTGAGTCGTTTTATGGTAAAATCGTGTTTGCACAGTGCGAGATATTGAATATTCGATAGAGATAACCACGGGATATTTGATCAAGATAGATATGTAAATCTAGAGAAGAATACTGAAATTTGGGTATGTATTTCTTTTAATATTTTTGTATGATGTATGATAAGTATGAATATTATTATATGCAAAGTTGAATTTGGTCAATTACGTAAGTGCAAGTATAGTAAATACAAAATTCCATAAAATTCAGGAATTTTTTAAAAATTAATTTTCAACGCGTTTTTAATTATGTGATTTAATTAATAGTTAATTAAATTAATTAAACTACGAACTTATTAAAATTGCTTCCTTTCAATGGAAATAGGCACAAACTAAGTTCAATTTAAATATAAATTGGTTGTAATCTGTTTTTAGTGTAGAATGTGTTTCAATTATTTGAAAAAATAACAAACACCTTTTAATCTGTGATTACCTTCTATTATTAACTTGTTTTGTATTTGAGATATCTGAATTCTTTTAGTTAAACATACTGTTTTGAAAATAGTATTATCTTTAAAGGTAAAAGAAAAGCATGAAAATAAATTGTATTTAATATTGAAATATTATTGAAATATCTTTTAATAATAATGTATAATAATATGTAAATAATATTATTATAATAATATTTAATAAATGATAATAATATATAATAATATGTTAATAATATTATTATAATATTTAATAATAATAATATGTAAATAATATTGAAATACTTTTTCATGCTTCAAGCTTCTATTCTTATATATACCATACAAGTATATAAGTATAAATATATAAATAGTTAGTTAAAAAAATTATTGAAAATACAATAATAATTCTAACAATAAATCGTATTTATTTCAATATCATAATACGTTATGTTATCTGGATAGTTTATTGTACTTCTGTTACTACGATAATCCAGATAACGAGATTACTTAATTTCGATAATTGGTATTTCCATTTAAGTGGCTAATTATAGCAGTGAAAGAGGAATGTCTGGAATTTATCAACAGGAAAGGAATTGTTTTCCAATAAAACAATGCAAAACCCGACGTATTGATAAGGAGCTGAGAAATTGTCGAATCGAACTTTATTCATTGGAGATAATATTGTGAAACTATAATTTATTTTTGCGATACGTCATTAATCACAAGAAACTATATACATAAGATACAACCCTGTGTACAAGCACTCAAACCAAAGCAGTAAAAGTAGTTAAAGGGAAAATGAGGTAAATTTTGAAAATATTTACCTCAATTGGAACTTTAAATTGCAAAGAATCCACCTATTCTATATAATAACAATAGTCTCATGCATTACATGTATATATATATAATAAAATTAAATATTTCTTATCAATATCCATAATCTTTTTTATCATTGCCTCAATTAATCTTCAACTAATTATTTCTTCAATTATATATACTTGACCCATATTATAAATGATTTCACAAGTCAAATTCTGATTTTAGACAGATTTTTAAAAATTTCCTATATAATTCACTATAGATTTTATTTCACTATAGAATTTCAATCTTCAATAAGAAGATTGTACTATTCTATTCTATTTTTCTAGAAATCTTCTAATCAATGTCCACAAATTTTTGTTACATATTTTCATTCAATATCTTGCACGAATACAAAACCCTCATTGATTAATTGTTTCTCTGATAATACCGATTACTTATCACGTTTCACATGTCCTGATGCAATACACAATACACTTGCAAGCAACCTATAGCAAAAGATCATGGAATATTTTTACCAAAGGAGATGTACAAGAATAAATATTCCAAATATAATATAATAAATAATATAATAAATATAGAATATATTCCCATATATATTCCAAAATAATAAATATTCCAGACTTTCCAAAGCACCCAATGTAGGCAACACAGTCACTATCTCATACATACAATACACAACAGTAATACACTTGCAAGCAACCTACAGCAAAAGATCTTGGAATATTTTTACCAAAGATGTACAAGAATAAATATTCCAAATATAATATAATAAATAATATAATAAATATAGAATATATTCCCATATATATTCCAAAATAATAAATATTCCAGATTTTCCAAAGCACCCAATATAGGCAACACAGTCACTATCTCATACATACAATACACAACAGTATTACACTTGCAAGCAACCTACAGCAAAAGATCTTGGAATATTTTTACCAAAGGAGATGTACAAGAATAAATATTCCAAATATAATATAATAAATAATTTAATAAATATAGAATATATTCCTATATATATTCCAAAATAATAAATATTCCAGACTTTCTAAAGTGCCCAATATAGGCAACACAATCTCTATCTCCAAAGAACCATTCCATTTTCCTTTTGCGACCAACGAGGGTCCAAAAAAGCGATATAAAGTATGCCAGCAACAGCGTTGATTTATACGGGATACGCGGAGGAACGCGAATTTGGCTGGGACACTTGATCGAGTATTCAGAGCCACGCGTTGCTGTTCCCAAGACGCGTTGCGAAGCATCGAGACCATAAATCATGTTCTTACGGATGGTAAATCCTCGTGACGTTCGCCAGGCCTGGTCATGCAGTCGATCTGATCGGCGATCGCCTTGCCGAAAACGACCAGCTCCAGAAGGCTGTTGGCACCTAATCGATTGGCGCCATGGACGGACACGCAGGCGGTTTCACCTGCCGCCCAGAGTCCTTCAATCACGCTGTCCTCCTCATTTTCACGTGTCAGAACCTTGTCGACAGAATTACCAACCGGTGATTCATACATTGTGCGTGGTTAGTTCAGCGAAGGGCATGCACTGTTCTTGTAACTCACCTGTGCCTTCCAGTTGGTGGGTATGCCGCCCATGTTGTAGTGCACCGTGGGAATGACAGGTATCGGTTCCTTTTCCACGTCCACGCCGCTGAACACCCAGGATAAATGCGAAATTCCTGGCAGACGGTTGCGTATCGTTTCTACGGGTAGGTGATGCAGTTGAAGGAACACATGATCCTTTCTAGGGCCTACACCTCTGGGTAGAGTAACATAGAATATATAACATGGAATAATATAATAATATAATGGATTTTATAGTGGATATAATGGAATAATGTAATAATATAATGGATTTTATAAAGGATATAATGGAATAATGTAATAATATAATAAATCTGGTAATATGGAAGAATGTAGAGTAATATAGAGTAATAATACGAGCATTGGAGAATATCAGGATGGTATAGTAATTATTTTTGGTATTAAAGGATTTTTATATAATATGGAATAATATGAAACAATGTAGAGTAATATAGAGTAATAATATGAGCATTGGTGAATATCAGGATGCTATTGCAATTATTTTTGGTATTGATAAAAGATTTTTATATAATGGATATAATGGAATAATATAGAGTAATAGTATGAGCATTGGTGAGTGTCAGGATGGTATTGCAATTATTTTTGGTATTAAAGAATTTTTATATAATATGGAATAATATGGAATAATGTAGAGTAATATAGAGTAGTAATATGAGCATTAGTGAATGTCAAGATGGTATAGTAATTGTTTTTGGTATTTATAAAGGATTTCTAGATTTATTTGTGTGACTGTGAATCATCTGAATGTTTTAGAAATAGCTCTTTTGACAGACAACTGATAAGGTTTAAGTTTAAGATTACCTTGTTATGGATTTTTAAGACTTTTATGTTGCCTTCCTTAGAGAATCTTAATAGGAATAAAAAAAAATGTATTTTTTGGGGTTTTAGAAGTTTTAAATATTAATGTTATAAAATGCTAAATGCTATATTCAAAAATCATATGTCTTGTTTTATGATCTTATAGATTACAGTGAGAGACTAAAAAGAAAATAAGTGTGATAGAAGTATCAGTATGGTCAGTATTAGATTGTAATAGTACAATGTCTTTTACTTATTAATAGAAAATGGAAATATTATGATAGTGAGTTATGACTTCCACTTTCAAACAGAATCCTAGATATCATCATAGGATTTATCATTAGACTTGTATAAAATTCATCTGATGTAATTCCTATAAAGAGTGTTACAATTTTCTATCAAAGAAACTTAGGGTTATCTCGGAGATTAGAAGTTTATTGCAGACTCCGAGACAAGCTTATGTTGTAACGAAATTTTTCCATCTGTTTCGTTCATCTACGACCTCTCGCAAACATACGAATTATCTGGAACAATAATCTAGAGATTCCCATACCTTCGACAAATTTCCCATACCAATCCTTCGTGACAAAATTTCTTTACTTTCAGATTTCTATCGTAAACTCTGTATCAACACTTTCGCGACCAATTACCTGCTACTATTTCTTCACAAACTAAACCTGACAGTCTATTAGGTCCTTTCACGAGTTAAACAGCATTCTTTTACCCGTTTTACCAAGGCGTCAGAAGAAATTTTTTCTAAATTTCAATAAACAGGAGAAAAGCTACGGGGAGATACGTATAACGAAGTCGAGTGGAATAACTATATGTGCACCTAACGCACATGGTACGACTACACTCTATAGTCGCGAAAGCGTTGAGAACCAGTCGACGGAATTTCCTCTGGCAGAGCTTCACCTTCCTTCGAATATTTCCATTGTTATTGCTCTCGAGACGATGTCACGGGATGCGAGATCCTTTGCATTTGGCGCGTATCGTTCCATAAAGAACTCTCCTTCAGAATTCAGCAGCTTACCTCCCTCGCCCCTGCTGCCCTCTGTTATCAAGATGCCGCTGCCGTATATCCCTAGCGGAAAAATCAACTGGTTAAACACGGAAAGCATTTGCACTCGCCGGTTCTCTTTTTCCTTTTCTGCCACGCGAATACCGGTTGGATGAAACTGGATGAACTCCATATCTTGAAGGGGCAATCCAGCTCTGGAAGCGATCGCCATGCCATCTCCGGTGCATGCGTGAGCCGCTGTACAGGATAGGTAACATCTTCCTGCTCCTCCCGTGGCTAATACCTAGAAAAGAGTGTCAGCTTGTTTATCCGTTCGATATTTAATGCTTATGTTTAACGTCGGTCGCGAGTTTCACGGGGTAACGTATAGTAATTCGATGCTAAGGGATAATGTGTCTGGAATTTTTCGAACGTGAAAACACGATGGAATGTCGGTGAACGTGGTGTGCAAGTAATTGTATATTTAGTAGCCTGTTGGAAGGTTAATGGGAGGAGGTAGGATTGTTTGAAGTACTTTTTCCTCCTTTCTTCTTTCCTGTTTTCTTAGAGGACCTTGGGCCCAATGAGATTACCAAGGTATTAATAGACACTAAGAATGATTAAAAATTGGGAATATTGTTGAAGATGGGTATTTGTTTAGTATAGCATGATATTGGCGAATATCACTTGGATTTTTAACATTTATGCTTGCAATATATTTTATTTATATTTTAGATACTGGTAAAAATTTACTTTAGGGACTTTGCACTAAATTAGTTTTTCTCTTTTCTATTAATACTTGTGTATAAATATTTGATTAAAAGCATGTTGTTTGAAAGAGTAATTGAAGATGCTTTTAAGTATCACTACCAGTGATCATAAAATGGCTGCTATAATGGCCATTATGAATGGGACATTAAGCAGACCTTGCATTGTTCTCTGGTTACTTGCACCCATTTAATTAATGATAGTAATTACTTATCTAGATGTTAAGTATTTTATACTTTGCGTCCATTATTAAAGAACGACGTAAAAGAAGTTAATACAAATTAATGAAAAATAATTAATATACGAATATATGGATTATTAAATTTTGCAAGGAGAGAAATATAATAGTAATATATTTTTAATACAGACCAATAATGTAAATTATTACTTATTATTACTTATCCTGATGTTAAGTATTTTATATTTTATATTTATATTTATTTTATATTTAGCAATATATTTTTAATACAGACCAATAATGTAAATTATTGTGAAAAAAGGAAGTTACAGAAGGTAGAAAAATAATTTACCTAAATTCTAATAATATTTATGAACAATAACTAGCAAAAAGACGTATAAACAAATAGGACATTCTGATTTCATGTAAACGGGCTCTAAAATAAACCGATACCGTAAGATGTTATTAACTGGAATAAAAGTTCCTCAAAAGAAAAAATTCTACATGGATACCAATTTGCTTGAAAATTAAAAAACCCGATACAACGTACTTTACCATATCGGTGAGGCAATAAATTGCCCTGCTCTCTCTGTTTTCTTACCAAGATTAGAGCCACCACGCTATATACCGTTATGCAACGAATATTTTATTCCAGTAATCAAAGGTCAACGTTTACCGTATGGTGGGCCCTGAAGCGATGCAAAAGTCCGGTTTCTAGTTCCCATGCTAAGACGCCCTTGCAGCATCGCCCGACCATAAGAAGATCAAGGGCAAAGTACTCCACGTAATAATGCACGTCGTAACGGAGGCTCTGCCCGTATAAAGTGTGCAGTATTGCGTGACCAGTTCTATCCGCGACCGCGCAAGTTCTGTGAGCTTGACCGCCTTTTCCAAACTTCAACGACTGACCACCAAATGCCCGTTGGTAGATCTTTCCATCGTCCGTGCGGCTGAAAGGACAACCTGAAATAAGAAAATTCTGATCACTTTCATTTAACTCCTGCAACACGGCCTAACCGAAAAGTCCCTGAGCTCTGTTTGCTTTGCATCAGGCAAGTAAAATGTTTCACGATCCCTAAATTTATTTGAGATCATATGATTTTCATATATTTTCGTAATTTTATTTAATTTTTCCATTTACTGTATGAAATCACAGGTGATATTAGACGTGGATTGTAATTCAGATTTTGGAAGGCAAATTTGAAGACTACAGATTAAAACATGATAAATTTTATTGATCTTCTGATATGTCATTTAGTGTTTTAGCACGAAATTGAATTAATACGTAATAGTAATATACTAATTGTGATATAGTATAGTATACTACTATAGTATACTATAGTAATAGTAATAGTAAATTACTATATATTATAGTAATGGTATAGCAGTAATATAGTAGTACAGTATAGTAATAGTAAATTACTATATAGTATAATAATATAATATAGTATAGTATGGTGTAGTATAGTACTAATATACTAATAATAGAGTATTGATGTAATATACTAATTCTAGTATAGTATAGAATTGTGCTACAGTATAAATTACTATTACTATAGTAGTATAGTACAGTAATATTAAATTGCTACATAGTATAGTAATATAGTATAGAATAGTGTAGTATAGTGTAGTACTATTATACTAATAATAGAGTATTGATCTAAATTTATTTTGCTAAATTAATTATATAATGGTTATATGTCTTTAGTGACTGCAAAAGGTTTGCAACCAGTAATTTTGACTGATATATTGATTTATAGAATTGTTAATTAAAATATTAAATATTTATGTGTCAAATTTGTTGAAGAAAATTTGAAATATGATTCTATGCTATTAAATTCTTTTCTTTTGTTTATTTTATTTCATCGAGGAAATTGAGTTTGGTGTTTTAAAAAATTACCATAGTTTTCAAGTTCGTAGACAGCACGTGGTGCTTCTCTCGTTAGAAAGTGTATTGCATCCTGATCTCCTAGCCAATCGGACCCTTTAACGGTATCGTACATATGGTAAAGCCAATTATCGTCCTTGTCGTTATCGATTGCAGCATTTATTCCACCTTGAGCAGCCACGGTGTGAGATCGAGTCGGAAATAATTTTGTAACCACTGCCACACGGTATCCCTTACTTCCTGTTGAACACAAACCATAAAAATAAAACTGTTCGAAATTAATATAACAAATTTATTACAATTAGATGACACGATATGAACAAAAATAATTAATATAAAAGACTTCTTAGGTTTGAAATAAAAATTGAAAAGACAATTAAAATGCAATAATTACCAGGAAATATAATATCAAATATTAAATATTAATATTATAAAATATTATAATTAATATAAAAGACTTTTTAGATTCGAAATAAAAATAGAAAAGATAATTAAAATACAATAATTATCAGGAAATATATTATTAAATATTAATATTATATTATACTAATAATAATATTAATTAATTAGTATAATAATATATAATATTAGTAATTATATAGTAATTAATACAATTATATAATATTAGCAATTTTAATGTTAGTATAATATTAATATAAAATATTAAATATTAAAATTATCAGGAGATAAATATACAACTGTGAAAGTGATTCCAAATTTTTGTTTGCAAGTATATTATCGCAATTTAATTCAGAAGTTACTAAATATATTCGCAATAGAAGTTACCTAAGCCAAATGCTGCCCTCAATCCAGCACCACCTGCGCCTACGACAACCACGTCATAACAATGATCTATCATGGGATAACTCTGCAAGCAATATTCGAGACGTTAAAACTGCAGTTATTTCCAAAAATAAATAATTACAGAAACACTCTACGATAACAATTTCGATCAAAAAATATCTTTACGTTACTGCCTTCGGTGCCACATTTAGCCTTTTCTCCTGGACTGACGTTCACGTGAAAACGTCGATTGCACTTCCTGTTCAAGCCTTGATATCGCGAAGCAAATCGCTGGAAAAAGAAAGATCCAAATATAAAAATCAATCCATCTCGAAGAACACTTTTCCAAATAATTATTACTTACTAAAAATCGTGACAATTGGTACGTGGATCGTAACATTATTTCTTGAAGTTCGTGGTACAGCATGAAGTACAATTACACGTGAACCTCTCTAATCGGTTGCTCGTCATTTGATAAAATAATAAGTAAAATAATCGATCTCGACTGTTTTCAGGATACAAGTGTCATCGCAAAAGCGTACAGTACACGTTGCATTTTGTACAAGCATAACTTTATTGCACTTGCAAAAATACAGTTCAAAACATAGACAATTTGTTGTTATATTAGGATAATATACATTCATTAGTTCGGCTTGCATTTCTCTGCTGATCGATTAATAATTTCATTTCGTTTCATTTCCTTCTTCTAGATAGTCTCTTTGGAAATCTTTGGACACCAGAGAGTGGAACGGTAACGACGAATCGTTGTCACTAGGATATTGACACCTTCTTGACAAACCTGTGGCAACTGTGTTCCTTATTTTTACAATTTTTTCTTATTTTTTCTTTTTTTTTTTTTAAGAAAAATCTGTTGTTATTAGAGACTTATAAAAAAGGTCGTTTAATCGTTTAATTTATTAATATTAATAAATTTAATATCGTGCGTCTCGCTACTCACCCGTAATTTGTTTAATTTTTAGTAATCGATTAATCGCTGTCATATGAACGCGAAATTGTACCAGCAATTCACCTATATCTAATAAATACTCTTAAACTTACGCTACAATTCCTTTGTTACGTACACACATGTAAAGATACCGTGATTCGATTAAACGTGTGATATTTACGTTTCTTTTGGTTCGTTGTGCTCGTTCGTATATAAAAATCTTGTAAAAAAGGTTATTTCGGTAAACAGAAAGAAAGAGAAGACGGATTTTAATACGTGTGTCGTTCATTCATGGATAGAAGGTATGAATGAATAAAGAGGGAAATAAAGAGAGAGAGATAGGGGGATGGAATATCAACGATGAACGAAGTAACCGGGAACGCTATACTATAAAGTTATCGTGTCCGTCCATTGCAGTTGAACAAAAAGCAAACGTAAAGCTTCCTTTCGATAAGTGAGCTTATCAAATTAATGGAATTTTTCGTTAAATGCATCCGTCCATTTTTTTGTGCAAAGTGATATTTCGTTGACACACACATGACTGATTGTTCATAATTATTCGCATAATCTTGGTATTCGTATTATTAAGAGGAAAATAATTATATTTACTTAGGATTTCTTAAAAAATTAATGTTAATTCTGTAAACAATTCTGTTAATTCCTATTACTACAAATTTTGATATGTGTTTGTTACATAGTGAAATTTATTCACAGTGTAACTTATTCCATTATCATTAAAATAGAATTTATCTACATGTTTAGGTACATATTGTTTGTCTAATGTTTAAAGTAACATTTGTGTAAAAATATTGCACTTGACATGTCACTAGTTTTGCTTGAAAAATATTTAAATTGGATTAGCAATTATAGCTAATTCCTTTAACTTTTAGAGATATTATCTTTTGTTATCTTGTTATCTGAAATATTATTGAGTGACTTTGTATGGAAAATGTTGTCTAATAATTGTCTAACAAAAGATAATATCTCTAAAAGTTAAAGGGATCAGCAATAATAACCAATCCAATTTAATAATAATTACATTTACTTAGAATTTCTTCAGAAATTACTGTTAATTCCTATTACTACAAATTTTGATATGTCTTTGTTACATAGTGGAATTTATTCACAGTGTAACTTATTCCATTACCATTAATGTGGAATTTATTCATATGTACACAGTGGTACATATTGTTTCATGTTTAAAGTAACATTTGTGTAGAAATATTGCACTTGACATGTCACTAGTTTTGCTTGAAAAATACTTAAATTGGATTTGGCTATTATAGCTGAACCCCTTAATTTGAGAGATATTAGCTTTTGTTATCTTGTTGTCTGAAATATTATTGAGTGACTTTGTATAGAAAATGTTGTCTAATAATTGTCTAACAATTGTGTAATTTCCTAACTTATTTGGTTGTTTTAATACTCTTTTATATAAAATGTTGCACATGCAACACTGTGTCATCAGTAACTCATCAAAGAAAGCTACATTTTCATATATTTCTCACAAAGAAAGTATATAATCTTTGAGTCTAGAACATGCAAGATAATTCGAACAATTATGAACAATTTTTATTATACGCAACTTCCATTCCACGCTCTTATACGACTTTCGTACATACGTATATACATGTACGAATATTTTAAATACAACAAATTTGTCTCTGACTTGACATCGCAGGACGTCACGCCTAAGCCAACTGAACCTCTAACACTCTTTGACAGCTCTCGTGCTAACTACAGTAATAATGGAAACCCTCTACATTGCAACTCGACTCTATCCTCTGCAACTGACATGCAATTGCAATTAACATCTGTTCTCTCGCGTGTTCCCTAATACTGGACAATTTGACTCTACTTTCTGTCAATTTTACGACGACCAAAATACCAGTGACTAGAGTACATAGATATACAGCTTTAACTCTAAATTGCAAGAATAAAATCCTCTCTTTTAACGTTACACGAACATTTAAAATAACTCTTCAATTCCTTCGTGCCAATGCTGTATTTTCCAACACGTGCCTACCACGACTGTTTGCGTTCGAATCGTTTCTTCGATTGCGATATTAAGTAGACAGTGGTCTGTAATTCTGCCTCGTGTTTTCTAACTTCTCGTGTTCGGTCGTTGGAACAATCCGGGCGAAGTCGATTTATTGCGTTGTTGTCGTTCATGGCGGTCGAGCAGTGGGCAGTTTCAGAGCACGAGCCTCCTTATGCCGCATTCGCAACAGTACTTGGCAGTTTCCGGAAACTTGGAGCCGCACTCGTGACAAAATTTGGACATCTTGCACTTGGGCGTCGTTGTTACGCCATCGCCGTCGCGACGATTGCTCCTGGATTCCTCGTCGAAGCGTCCAGCCACGTCGTTGGTGCTGCGTCCATGGTGCGAATATTTGCGATTTAAACTAGGAGGAAGAAATTGAACGGGGCTTTAGGCATGCAGGACGAAACACGTGACAAAGTGAGTTTACCCTATAGCGATAAGCGCGGTTAGGTTAGGTATGATTCTAGATCGCGAATACTTCACGCTGGAGCCATCGATCTCATAGTCTTAAGTTTCCATTTGTAACCCTTTGTACGTTTTGGTTCTTTTATATGTATATTATTGTATCTAGTTTTTGGCGCATTAAACGTATGTTAAATTGGAAATGGACGTGACAAGGTGAGCTATGGGACAAGCATGGTTCGATACTCGAAGCTTTCAGTGTTTTAAGTTTCAGAAATTTCAACAAGCTGCAATTTTTAATTTTGGGATCCAAATAAAATTATGCAAAAATTTTCAAAGTATAGTGCTCGAGAAAAAAGAAAGGGAAAAGAATATATGTATATATTGAAACAGAGTGGTTTGATTAATAATGTATTTGAAACTTAAATTGAATATGAATGAAGAATGAACATTTAAATATTGAATATTTTTTTGGAAGAAAATTGTAAAGAGAGTTATGTGATATGAATTTAGATAAATCTGTAAAACTAATAGAATAGAGTTAAAATATGTAAGTAATTGTAATATAGACTAGACTATATTACAACTTTTTAGTTTTAAATCAATAAATTCATAATGGGAAATAAGAAATGAAAAATTAAATATTGAAAAAAAATATTGTTATATAACATGAATCTAAATAAATCTATAAAACTAACAGAATAGAGTTAAAGTATAATATGGAGTTATTATAATATAGTATAAACTATACTAATATTTCAATTTGAAACAAATAAATTGATAATAGGAAATGAGGAATGAAAAATTAAATATTGTTATATAACATGAATTTAGATAAATCTATAAAACTACTAGGATGAAGTTAAAGTATAATATAGAGTAATTATAATATAGACTAGACTATATTATACCATATACTTACATTCAATACTAAATAATTTAATTTAATTTAATTTAATTTAATATCGAATTTCTGTATCTCAAATGATATCTTCCTTTTTAAAATCACGATACCAACATTTCAATTTCAAATAAATATATTCCCTAAAACTAATCCGAAAAAAAAATAATCATCCTCATTCATATCTAAAAAAATGTAAAAAGGTCAAAAATTATTTTCAAAAGATAAATTAACAATTGATATACCCGACCACAATGAATACCACATATCACGTCATCACTTGGTCTACAATAAATCATCTCTAACCACGCTTAACCTTTTGCGCTCGACGATTTTTTGGCTAAACAAGGGTACGAGTTGACAAATTTTCTGCTTTGCTATAATCTGCTTTTCTATAAGGCTGATGATATTTTTTGAGCAGTAAATAAGAAATCATATAATCTAATATAATAATTAACACGCAGAATTATTTAATTTCGATACCTGCCACACTGTTACATTATCTTAAATTTGATATATCAATTAATATCGAGCTTCGAAATTTCACCAAATGGGGTGCCTCTCGAATGCAAAGGGTTAATCCTAAATGATCTCATATTAACCTGCTATAAGCAGAATCCCCGCTCATCTTATTGTGATCCTGCCTCTTGTAGCTCTCAGGCGAAGACAGTTCTTCATCGCTGATCTGGCCATTGCGCTGCCTGCCGTGGACGGGGCTAGACAAGGAATCGTTCTTGATGAAGGATTTCAAGGAAGGGAAGCTCCCGTTCTCATCCTCGAACGAGGTCATCAACTCGTCGAACACAGAGTTCGATCGTTTGATGTCCACATCCGAGGACATGATCGAGCTGAGGCTCAAATTACTGCTCGATAAATTCGTATAATTATTATTCCTACTGTTCAAACTGTTATTCGACGACCTCTGACCATCTATATTCTTATGCAACGATCTATGCTCGTGAGAGCTCGAATTATTTCGATCAGGCGTGACCTTGGGCGCGGAGGATGCACGGACCGAGATCGAACGATTGATCGTGGGTCTGATCACTTTTGGCGAGACCTTGTCGAGAATCTTGCGAGCCCTCTCAGAGCTGCCAACGAAGCTTCTGCTACCACGACTGGTCTCGTCTATCACGTCCCCTCCCAGTGCTTTCGACTTATCGATGATCACTCGTCTACCCAACTCTCTGACTGGTGATTTCTTGTCTAGGTCAGTCCTAGAGATAGACTCCTTGAATTCCTTGTTGTCTTTCAGATCTTTCAGGAAAACCTCGCGCGACAACGAGTTGGTCTCAGTGGAGTCGCTAGAGAAGTCTGACATGAGGTCGTCGAATTCCGAGGGAGGAGCTATCAAGGACGAGCGTTTTTCAGGGCTCGACAAGGTCGACGGGCAGGGGTATTTAATGAAAGCAGAGGAATGAGAGAGGGGAAAAGAGGAATTGCGGTTTTGCCCGGCCGGAGGACTGTCCGTCACGGATTGCTCGCTGGTGTCCGAGAGCAGGTCATTCATCTGCTGCTCTGCTAGCAAGAAAGGATCGTAATCCTTGCCGCTGAAAGCAGTATTAACAGTTCAATAGCGATCATGCTGTTGTACAAGACGTTTCTTTCGGCAATATTTTGTTCTTTCATTGGAAATAACTCTGTCCTTGATGTATCAATTATCAAAGATGGCCGATAGTTTTTGGAACTACTATGGGACATAAAATTGAAACGAACGAGATAATTACAAAGCTTATTATAGATTAGAAAAATGATTATAATTGAACAAATTAGAGTAATTAAACAGTTGTAATATTGGAGGATTAGATATTGTCATAATTTTAGTGGATGTAGTAATGGTGAAAAGATAATGTGGAATTGTATATTAAAAATAAAAATTTTCATAAATAATCAAAAAATCTGTAAAAAGCAATTTTTAAAGAGTTTAATTAAATAGAGCTCACTTCTCATGAAGATTGTTATTATAAATTAGAAAAATGATTATAACTGAACAAATTAGAGTAACTAAACAGTTGTAATATTGGAGGATTAGATATTGTCATAATTTTAGTGGATGTAGTAATGGTGAAGAGATAATGTGGAATTGTATATTAAAAATAAAAATTTTCATAAATAATTAAAAAAACTGTAAACAAACAATTTTCAATTAATTAGAGCTCAATTCTCATGAAGATTGTTATCTGAATCCAATTAAGGGATTTCTGGTGTCTAATTTCTATTAGGTGACTCAATTATAATTGATAAATAGTGTCAAATAAATCCTCATAGAAGGTAAACCTATCTATTAATTCTGTCATCATCAGTATTTATATTATAAAATATATATTATATATATTACCTTTTCAATAAAGTTAAATTCACGTATTTTATAATATATCTTGAAGAATTTTCTAGGACCACGTAGGAGAAAATCATTGCACAAAAGATCTCAAAAAGAAACGTCTTTTACATCAGGATACCAATGCAGTGCATAATGCAATATCTTATTTCGTTGAGACACCGTTCATGAAATAAATAAAAATAGCTGGTTCGAGTACAAAAGTGTCGTAGAACAAACGAAAATTCATCGGGACACCTGACCGATTTTCTCCATGCTTAATCTCGACTATATCGATCCCTCCAGGTCGATTGTTCTAAGAAGCAGTCAAAGAATGACAAGATCGATAATGCGCCTGTGAGAAGACAATGATATGTACACGAAACATCGGAGGGGCCTTTCAGCTTGGGGCAAACATGCAAAGCATGTTCTTTGACCAGTTTCCAAAGCAAACCTTTGCACGACGTGATGAGTAAACTCGTGTGGCGTTACACATGCGATGTAGGATACACCAAAGAACGTGCCAAGATTAAATTTGCGGTTCCAGTGGCCGATGATATCGTAATAAGGGTTAGCGCCAAACGGTCGTTCCGAGAAAAAAGGAAAAGGAGAAAATAAAGTGAGGTTTCCGTGGGTGGAATTTTAACAAAATCAGAAATCCGATGACAAAACAGGTTAGCTCGACGATATTGCAAAAGATAAGAAATCTGCCGTCACAATCGACCATCCACAAGGGACTTACGTTCTACCGCTAAGTACGAGATTAAAATCCGGTCTTCTGCGCACATAATTGCTCCATACCGGACGTAATGGCAGTTTTATATTCCTATAATATCATACTTGGATTAGGAATGCTAAATAAAGAGCTAGACGAATATTTTCGTCTTGCAATGATCAATGCAGAAATTGCTATTTTCATTTTGTGGACGATTATGTTACAAATGACAATATCTAAGGTAAATGTTCATAAATTATATCGTAACAAGTATAATGCATTCAGTATTTGAAAATTATTATCCAGATTAGAGGTTAGGAAATAGTCTGATTTTGGAATGCAATTAATCTCTATTTCTCATTTTATTACTGATTCAATTTATTTTTGTCCTTTTTAAATAATTATGTGCAAATATTAATTAATTAATTCCCATCATTTTATATTCCTTTTATCACCCTGTGAATTTTATCAATCAAATCTGCTTGAAATAATAATATCTAATAATATATAATAATAAAATCTGCTTATATTTTATAATAATAAAATAATTTACTAAGGCACTCTATATTATTATTGACTACTGAATGCATTTTTAAAATTCCAGTTACATTTTGTGACACACCACAAACACTGTAATCAAATAATTACAGCAGAAGTAAGAAAATTAACGTTAAACAATATCTCAAAATAATGCTAATAGGATAATGAGTGGAGCTTCTGTTAATCAATTAATGCTGAAGAATGAAACAAATCTACTCAACTCAAACTAAATAAATTAGTATCATAAAGATTCATTTTGTAAAAAGCTAATAATTATTCGTAATAGGCCAATTCCTACCTGTGGTTTATCAAGGAAGAGTTACTGGGGACAGGTGGAAGAATACAAACTTTCGGATTTCTCGTGAGAAACCTGCTCGCCCCCTGATACGGTGGATCTAGATTAATCAATCGATTCCTCGAGGCTTTAGACGCCTTCTCCCAATACGTTTGACTATTCATTCTCCCTTTCTCGCGATAGTCCTCCTTCGTCACCACAGTGGTGCCCTTGATCTTAGGCAACACTCTGAACCTGATGCTCCTGTTTCTAGTGCCAATCTCCTCGATTGTCTCTACTTCAACAGAGTCCACTTGTCTCGCATCTGTGAGATCCATCGCGTCGTTGGATGATGCTAGACTATCACTGCTCTCGTTCAAGAGACTCGTGCCCTCACGAATGCTATTTTCTAGCCCAAGCGTTTTCAATCGACGCGACTTCAAGGCTGTTGATCGACTCATGGACGAGTCCTGCAGGCGAATACGTTGACTCAGTTTAACGCAAGATTCTGACAGAACTATCGATCGCAAGCTTTGCAAGCTCTGCTTGACATTATGGTTCTTGCTGGAGGATTTGAAGTCGATAATTGTATCTTGATGATCGATGCTATTATCACTGTTGCAGTTGAAGTCTTCTGCTGAATAGATCTCTTGGACTTCGTTATTTGTGTCATCCTTTACTGTCAATTCTTCCAAAATTTTTGGTGTTTTATTTATCACCATATTGCCTTTGATGGCAGTAAACTTCTTCTTACAATTAGGAACTTCTTGATTTTGGTTAATCTGATTTATGGAAGATTCACTTGGTTTGGTATTAAAGTTAGCTTCATTGAAGTTTGGCTTTTGTCTTTCTGAAGATTCCTTTGCTGTTTCATCTCTTTGCATATTCTTATTACACGTTGTGCTACAAACCTGTGGTTCTGAATAAGAAGTGCTCTCAATGGTATGGATGCAAGCATCACCAACACCCCTTTCACATTGGAGACTTGGAAAGACTTCTACTGAACATTTACAGATATTTATTTGACTGGCAATTTCCTTTTTGTGTATTTTTGGAAATTTTATTTGCCCATCCTTTTGCATCATTGAAGAATTATTCCTTGGAGATCTGTCTTCCCTTTTATTTAGCATAGAGGATACAGGTCTTGAGTTTTTGTTCTCTTTCTGTACAACTGGAGAAGTAATCTCTGATGAATTTTTTAAATTTTTATTAAATTTGGCAGATCTTCTGTCAGGAGAAGTAACTTTGGATTTAATCTTTCCTAGTTTGTCAATTTTATCAGAGCTTGAATAATTCGAATCTCTGCTTTCAACTCGATATAACACCTCAGACCCTGTTCGAGTGTCTATTTCCTCTTTCCATTCGGAATTCATTGGTAATTGACACTGATCTTGCTTATAGTCTTCGCAATCCTCGAAGTTTGGTTTTGTACAATGTACGACATTAATGAACGGAGTGCTTGATCTAGTTGGTTGTAACATAACCTCCATGAAATATGGATCAGTTTCTATTTCATTCCAATTCGTTTCAGAGTTATAAAATTCCCTATCATCATTTATGTTCCCAATTTCTGTAAATTCATTTTGAAACGATCGAGCTGAATTCTGTGTATCAAAATCAAATTCATCATCGATTGTTTTAATATTTTTAATATATACTGACTGATTTGTTTCGCTGTTTGGTCGATCATTGTATAATGTCATTTGACTTACTTCATGATTTGCTTCTTGTATATCGTTAAAAATATTATTTCTTTCAGGTTCACTTATCTCACAGAAGTCATTAAGTTCATCGAGATTTGCAAATTGCTCGTAGGAAGTTACAGAATATAAATTTCCTTCGGGTAAACTTATCAGGGGTTCCTTCACATTTTCTTCTCTCACACTGGTATCTTCGTTTGTGTGTACAGTATATGTATTTTCGTAATTCAATGGGATTTTCTCTTTTATAATTGGTATAGTATTTAATGTATCGATAGACGTATTATTCTCGTGTAGGCTTTTCGGTGATTCCATCGTCTCAGAATTAGTATAATTTCGCACAGAAATATCAGCATAAGTTGTCGATTTTAATCCTTTTCTCTCTAAAATTCTACTCCTCGAGGATTTAAAGCTATCAAGAGGAGATTCCACGCGAAAGGTTTGAAAATATAAATCATTATCTTGACGTCCAGCCTCATTCGTCATACCTTCATCCTTCGTTGGACAGTACTTCGAATTTGCTGATTTAAAATTTTCTTCCTTCAAATTCTTGCGTGAATTTTTAGTGCCTTCTTTCCTGTTCATATCCCCAGAAAGAATGGGACTAATTGGAGGAACGTAAACCTGGTTTGTCTTATCCGGATCTCCTAAACAGAATTCTATACGAGGACTGTGCTTCACAGGTTTCCATTTCTTATTCTTTGTTATTTGCATATCATCAAGCTTATCACTCACCATTAGATCTCTGAGCGAATACGTTTGATTCAACATGGGCGTACTGGTCAACGAGTTTGTGCTTCCACTTCTGTAACTTAATTTCCTCCTACCTTCCATGAACACATCCTCGTTAAATATAAAATCATCCTCCAGTTGTTTCTCATTCAAACGTAGATCTTCGATACGTTTTCCCTTTTCATCCTTTACCTGATCTGCCTCCACGATCTGCTTCCACGTTGTTAGCTGATTTTCTTTGTATATGTTGCAAGGTTTCACAGTGATACCTACAATATCATTGTTAATAGAAACGTCGTTCACTTTAGGATGGCCCTGACTCCTTGCTGAGACGATATTCGCCTTCAGTGACCTAGCAGAATGCGATGCTTGCTTCTCATCTTGTTTAACTCTCTGGCTCGTGATATCGTCTGGTTTAAGCTTGGCCTGTGCTCTTCTTGGCTGTCTCTTGCACAATTTCGGTGAAGGAAGGCTGTTGCACTGGTCGAAACTTTCTCTCTTATATTTTAGGGGCGGAACAGGGAGATGGGAGATTCTTTTAACAGGGAGGACAGAACGGAAGGTAGTCGGTCCAGCCTCGTCTTCCAGTTGCCTGAGGATGAGGAAACAGGATCAAGGATGTGCGTCTGACATCAGGAGAAGGTCATCAGGCTTTTGCAAATATCTGATGCACGATGTCACTTAAATATTTGTAATTAGATACAACCTTGTCCCTTTTCCTTCTCCTCATGCACGTTGCTAACGTGTATCTAATCTAAGCTCCACTCACTATCCGGGGAACACATTGCTCGTGACTATAGGTACTTAGAGACTGCTTACCTGTTTATACGATCCATTAATCGCGACTTCATGGAAACACCGGGACTGGAGAACTCTTTTGTTTGAACAGGACGTTTGCTGGAAAAGAGATATTTTTAGTTCATTTTTGTGTTTTCAGAAGTTGTCACTAAATATAAAATAATATATAGATGAATAGTGAATTTTATCATTGGAGATAAAATTGAAATTTTAAATATAATTGATATATATATATATAATTTTAAATATTAAATATTAAATAATTGATATATGTATATAATTTTAAATATCAAATATTAAATAAATAATATATATAATTTTAAATATAATTACAGTTTTGAATATAGAAATAAAGAGATTAAAATATAACAATAACAAACTGATTCCATGTTTATGAAGCTGATTCAGCGTATAACGTTACATTCTCTGTAATCATTAATAAACTAATAAAACTGGAATCATAATACTAAAAAGTCGCATTGCTCAACAGGAAGATCCAGAAGGGAAGCTTTCCTGGCACAAGGCCAACAGACGCGAGACAGAGTTTAACACAAGGAAGCAATCGTTCCATAATTATTCCTCTAAATTTAAGCTACTTCACACTCCTTCTGGTACATGTAACATTAACCCTCTATGCTACTTAAAACTCTTATTCTTTAGATTCCCATTAAATCCTTTGCGTTGCATATTTCATACTTCTACAGTTTGTCATGTTAAATATCTCATATATATATATCATTAACTTTAACAATAATGGCAATAAACCATTCCAATTTTTCCACAACAATAAATTACAATCGCACTTATTAATAAAAGCAATAGTCAATTTGCTAATACATAATTTTAATTTGCTCTAAAAGCCTATATAATCAAAAAGTAAACAGGAATTTTACCAACATCAATCTCAACGTTCACACGATATTTTACAATTTGAATATACCAAAAGATATCTGCTGTCGCCTGAAAAAGCAGTCACGCAACTTACACGACAGTCGATTTCTGTTTAACAGGGCTGTCGTTGCTCTTATTGCAGCTCGGTGCCGATGCACTCTCTTTAGCTTTACTCGGGGCCAGCGTTGGCGATGTCTTGTTGCCGGAACTCAGGTTAATCGCTGAGCCAGGTGAGTACTTCTCGCGGGTCGCCTGTCGACGACTCTTCACCGCAGGAGCACGATACTTCATCCGAGCTTCCAGACGTTCCTTGGCGATGTTCGTCGCGGGACTGAGCGACACCCGCGTAATTCTTTCCTTGCACCAGGCTACGTGTCTGTCGTAAGCTTTAACGCCAAAATGCCGATTGCAGGTGGGACACATGCCCTGTTCGTTAGCACGCGTCGGCGCATTTGGAGTGATCGTTGTGCCGCCACATTGCTTCTGCATCGTGGAATCAACCTAAAAATACATTGCAAATTTATTACAATGTTCGTATATCGAACATATCGATAGATTTGGGTTATTTTTCCTAACTAATGTATCGATTTCACTCTTATCATAGGATACAAAAAGAGAACAGTATTCAATATACGAGGACAGTATTCTATAAACTAAGTTCAAATTGAATAAGTGGTAAATTTGATACAGAATTATTCTGCATGCAAAAATACATCGAAAATAAAGAAAAAATTTTTTTCGTTCGAAATCTCGTTTTCGAGAAAATGAAGTTTGAAATTAGAAATATTAACGCTCTGGCGGCAGCCATGTTGGAAGCGTTTGCAGAGGGCGCAGCTGAGTTCACGTACACCCCACGAATCTTCAAACACGATTATGTTAAAAACGAAGCTTCAAACGGAAAAATTTCATTCCTTTTTACCGATTTATTTTTAATTGTAAAATACATTTTCAGGCTCTGTATAAATTATACAAATTATATAAATTATATAGTAATAACTGCTTCGTTAAGCAGTTACGAAAGAGCTATAAAATTGAGTAAAACGTGTGAACTAAATTAGTTTAGTTCTCTAATTTTAAATTACATATTAACGTGTAATATGGATAAAGAAAAATTGATCAGCTGTGAACCAGTTAAAGTCTAAACAGAAAGACAGATATAAGCAGAATATAATTTTATAGGGCGTGTTGCAAAAACATTTAATCACACGCACGAATGCACTTGCATCATTCGCGATGCATCTGGGTTAATCTGCGCTCTACCTGCAATTCTCACCTCGCATTGCCTCTCTATTTACCCTTTCATTTGAATTCAGCTCTGCAATCTTGTATTTCCCAATTATCTCGTTTTCATAATATCTATTTATTTCCTTAACCCCGATCATATGTAATTACAGCTTTCAACATCCACATAATTAAGTTTGAATAATCGCTTCTTAAATGTCAAATTAATATTGAAAAAGCTTTTTCGATATTCGATCAATAATTCGAAGCCTTTTTTTCTAAAATTATTATTTCCAATTTAAAAATGAATGTTCATTTTTATTTGGGAAGTAAGTTTAGTGTCGAAGTCGTAATTCTAGTGTTATTTATATTCATTTTTAGAGCTGTTTACCCTGACGCCATTTTGTTGTTGGATACTAACCTTTCTAAAGGTATAACATTTATTTCAAAACGACGATAAGTTAATATCTGTATATAAAACTTCCTGTCAGTGCCATATTCTGGGTTCAAATAATCTAGATACAAAAGTTAGTTAACCTCAAATTTGAAGAAATCAAATAAATTGATTGAGTATTTCTAGGACAGAGACTCTCATAGTTTCTAAATCGTGAGGCCCAATTCAATTAAAGATATTACAACAATACCCCAATATTTTATTTAGTTTAACTTTTCTTTTCGTCATGCTAGGTAATAAATTTTCTAACAAAGATATAGGTTAAAATTAAAGAAGAAGCTTTTGGAAATATTTGAAAATTCGCAAAACATTTATGAAATGAAGCTTTATATGTAACACGTGCAAATAAGTATTGCACGAAGTATTACATATACTTATTTTCAATTGCAACGCTTTTGGTATTAGCTCACAGAGCCCTAGGGCTCCCTACAACTCCCTAGAGCTCTCTATAGCACAGTTTCAGGTCGAACACAAAAAGAAAGCAGAATGTAAATGGACATTAGTTACTGTTAAAAATGTGGAAAATTAGTATCACTATTATTAAACCATTTATTATACATTACCTATATTATATATATATATATAATATACAAAACATTATTATAAACATTCCAAACTATTTTTCTTACTAGGTCTCGAAACTCCACAGAAATCACTATATATAAAACTATACAGAAAGATTGAAAACACTTACGACTTCGTTACGAGCCGCGCGAATGGCCCGCAGAAAATCATCATGCGTCTCCTTCCAGGTAGACCTTGGCTTCGAAGAGGACCTGTCTTCCGGTGACCGTCGCTTCTTCTCCTGCCTGGGCAGAAACTCAGCCAGCTCGGTACCCTGGATCCTCTGCTTAGCCGAATCGAAGGGCTTCCTCTTCCTATTCGTCGATCGCTCGCAAATCTTAGAGTGCTTCTCCAGCGACTGCGGCATAAAGGTCCGTGCGCAAATCGCGCACGGCAGTAGGATGGGCGGCACATCTGTGTCCATTTATCAAGAATTAGTCCACTGCTGCGATCCTCCTGTTCGACAGGCACACGAGATGCGTCCGTATATGGAGCAGAATGAGTCAGAACGAAGATCGAAACGCGCTAGCCAACATCGGTGAACCGATATCAACGTGCCCTCAACCAGGGATTACTCTCATCTCTCTCTACCAACGAACCCATGATTTCTGACTCAAACCGCAATAAACGTCCGTCACTCGAACGTACACACGCTCGAACGCGTCGAGAGATTATTAATTTCAATCTGCAATCGTCAACTTGGAATAAAGCACCTCTGTACGAGCACACGAACTCATCTTGCGAGCTACCAAATTAAACCTAACCATGTCAAATCAACACGAGCGACACAGTATTACGGCTGACCATCTATCCAATGAGACGAGACAGAAAACAAAGCAAACAGCACGTGATCAAGCGCGAGGAGGACATGTCCAATGCACAGTTTTAGGTTAGCACCGCTTCGGAATTGAGGTTAGGTTCATGAAACTTGACCCTAGAGCCTACAATTCGAATTCATATCGTCCTATTCTGCCACTTGCTACTTGCAGGGTCGCGGGAGGATCAAAAAGGAAGCACGCAGGGATCAAATAACCGATGAAGCTGGTCGTTTGTTTGCAACGCGCGTGCGCGGATTGCGGCCACCTGCGCGGTTCTTCTGTTGAGCGACGTCCACAACAGAGGATGAGGAGGAGGTGGATGAGGACGAGGTATCGCCCCCGCAAGAACTACTCGCCCACGGACGAACAAGCTTCCATCTTTGGCGTAACGAGTTACCGTTCGAACATTATGTGTCTCTGGTGTTGTTGCGTCGCGGAGGAAAGCGTGTTGCTCCCGTGCCAGAGATTCCTTCCGTCCTCGCTTTTCCGAAGCTGCGTGTGACCACGTTAGCGCGCCTTCGCCAAGTGTCACCTTCACGCTCGGATTCGTAATCCTACCGACGCGTTATTTATCGCCGATTACCAACGACAGATGACTCTCCTCTCCTTATGAGGGCCCCTTTTATTTTCAATATGGCGCGGGACCGTGAGGGCGTGCGACGGGGACTTATGGATGAATTGTGACATGTAACGTATGTAGATCACTGCTTGCAAGTTTTGGAACCACGATTTCGATCGTGAAGAAGAAATTTAACGATTTAATTGCAGCTGATGTTAGTTACTAGGAACGCCAATTGGCGCACTGTGTAATCATGTGTAATTGCACTGTGCCGTGTAATGGTTAAAAGGACTTTGACTGTAAAAAACGTAAAAATGCTGTATTCTAGGAAGCTACGATAGCATTTAATTATTATGGCATTAAAACGAGTGGTTATGAGATAAACAGAATGTGATGGATTTCATGACTTGATTTACATAGGTTCTTTTTGGCAAAAATGTGTAAATGGATTGATATAATTTGTGATTCGAGTTTCATTGGTATATGTTCACAATTAATTCACAATTTTTGTGAGTTGGTGGGGATTAGGCTAGTGACCCTGAAAATAACAAATGAGTTGAGAAGAATAACTGCGTATTTTATATTTCTTCACCTTATATATAAACTGAAATTTGTTTTATCGATGAATTTAATATATCATTTCTATCACGATGAATATTTATTTTCTATATATTTATTATTCGATATATGTATCGACATAATATTTATAAAAGTAAATTGAAATTTTAAACCGTGTTTCAGTATTTATAGAGACAAATTGTCACACAAATAAACAATTTTATACCATTAATTAAATGGCTGTGTCATCATCGATACATCTGACAAAGTAGACTCCCACGTGTTTCACTTTGAGTTCTCATACTATATTAGGGCACTCATTTCCTACATAACATTTTTTTAAAAATTGATAACTTTGATTAATCTATGACTACTTAATTAATAGTTTCCAATTTTTAATGCTATTAAAAATGGTATTTACTGTATCTATTTTTATTAATGACCAGAAAAGATAATTTAAAAAAATTTTTAAATGCGAAATAAGTTTTCTCTTCGTCCAAGCTATTAGTATCTTTTAATTACTGCTAAATTATGGAGAAAGTGAACCATAAATTTAGTAATAACGTAATTTGTTGTAAAAAGTAAATCGACTGGTAAACCATAAAATAAAAAATCACAAGGTCAGAGATCTTTTTTATTACTAGCCTTTTATTACCGACGAGATTTAATGAATTCCGCGGTATTTATAACACCGTCTCTAGGTGCATTGAATAATCGATTGCAATGTAAACAAGAGACAAGGATAACTGTGAATCGCGGAAGAAGCAAAGAAATTACATAAACAAGGAAAAGATTTCTACATTAACACTGATATTTTTAATTCCCAAAGAAGAAAAATCGAAACATCTATATTTTACTGAAGTGTAAAAATTAAATGCTAATATTACCACCTTTCAAACAAATTGATTTCAACGTTTCAAGAAATTTAATCAGTCTAACGAATCGTTCATTGTCAATGCCACACTACAATAACGAACCATAACCTTTCATGGAATCACGTAACACGATTCTAAACAAGTCCACTCAAAACCAAAAGTTTCAATAGCGATCTTAAGTCTTTCTAAGAAACCTCTACAACTTCATAAGTCATAGGAAATGCTGAAGAAGGAAATATTAAATACACTTAGTTGGAGATAATCGAGCGTGGTTGTTAATTAAACACACGATCAACAAACTAGGTTATGTGAAAGATGAAAGAAAACCAGTCAGGAAAAATTGGAAAAGTCTTCAGCTTCTGAACACGAAGCCTCACCTGGTTCACTGGATTGTTCGAGTTGTACCACTTTTTCCAAGTTGACAGGTTGCTCTTTAGAGGAATGATGATCGTAGGGGGGCCCTTGGTCCGCCCCTGCGACAGCTCTTCTCGAAACGCAGCACAACATCGAAGAGCATGGAAACGCATCGACTGAGTCTCTCCATCGGCACGAGGTTGTTCTTGTATGCAACGTGTATACTATACGCGATCTCGTTCTCTTCTCTTGTTAAATGGGGTTTATTTTAGGTGTCACCACGAGAGCATCAGAAGCGCTCTTTCCTTTTAATAGCGATGGGATTGTGACTCTCTCGTGGTGATAAGACCTACACGAAGTTAACCTCTAGACAATTCTTCATTTGGAATTTCTTAACCTTTTGAGAAATACTGACACGTCCAATATCGTTTATCGTTTCAAATGATACAGCTCGTATACTGTACCTCATTTTTATTAAGGAGGTTAAGGGTGCATCACTATTGTTAGCACACGCTATCCTGTGTTGGAACAATGAAAAGTGTTTTATTGTGTTATTACTGGCGTTATATTTGAATTAAATTTATATAACAATTTTCTTAAATGACTTACATTTATTGATACACTATGAAATTTATGCTTTCCATACTCAAAGTATCTTTTGGATTGTGCTAGAAAACTATAAAAATAAATGATAAATAAAATGGTAATAATATTGATCATAATGCGAATAATTTATATAATTTTCAATATTTTTAACAAGTAACTAATTTCTTATTTTAATTTCGATCGATCAGTAATAAACCCTAATTGCAAAACCTGAGAAGTATTAAAACTAGTAATTAAGAAGTATTATAGAAGGAGAATTATGTGATTTTTTCGTGACTTAAGAAGTTTCGAATAACGTCGATTTAACCTGTCGATAAAGGTTCAACAACTCGGGAAATTGCTGCCTAGACTTTACTTGCAAAGAAGTATCGATTCGACTTAAGCTCATGTTCTTAATTCATTTTACGAGTTCCGCTTCCGTAGACATATACTGCAGTCACCCGTTAGCCACGCAACGTAGATCACTATTAAATATAATGATTTAATGTCCTTATGGCACATATACATTTGATGGATTTGATCAATACCATAGAGAATGCATAAGCGATAGAAAAATTCGCTGAAACGAAAATCGATGTCATAAACGATTTAAGAATCAAATAATAATAATAATAATAATTACTTACTTATGTAACAAGCTAAATAATTTTTTCGGTAATAAAAATAAATATTGACAAAATATTTTTACTGCCATCTAGTGAGCATCTAGATGGCGGAAAAATTAATTTTCAATAATTATCGAATAATGCTCAAACGATTAAATAATTTTCTATAATTTGAATTAAAGTAAACGGTGCATGATATGGGTAACAAACATTATAAAGATGTCCATGTTTATCACACATCACGTAAATACTACCTACATTACATTCGATCGTATTCGAGATCACATGTCGACTATCGATTCACCAGGCGTCGATTCGATTTTACGCACAATTAAAAATATGACCTTACCTTTTGTCACTTATTCAATTTTTCATTCGAAAGATACCGATCTATTCGATCGGAGATCGGAGATATTAACTCGGACCCATCGCTAACGCCTCTCTTTTCCGTTTATACGTCTGAACACCTTCGCGTCCGCGTGGTTCTCTCGTATATATTATTAGAAAACGTTCCCGGCCGCGAAACTGGAACCGGACGGAAGCACAACACAAGAAAAACTCACGTGGCAATCGCTAAGATCTCTCGACGCGTTATTTGTGTCAGACAAACCACCGTGGTTTCGTAAATACTAACAGAGACCGTTTGACATATGCAAACTTACCCTCAACCTTCGCCATGTTAGTTGTTAAGGGAAACAATGATCACCATGGTAACCGATGACAGATTCTCCGACTGTTGGAGAGCTCGGAGGATTGATCAAATGAAAAGATCGGATTGTCTAGTACTTGATATTATCCTTGCCTTACGATCATTGATTTAATTATTACATAAATTATACCTACAACTTGCAAGTTATATATACTTATATAAATATCTACATTGTATATAAATATGGAATTATGTATATAATTATATCCGTTCTTTTATTGAATTAATTTAAAATATTCAATACCGATCTTTTAGTTTTCAAAATATATTCAAAAAGTGACGATATTTTTTAACCTTTAGATTGCTAAAAATCCTACTTTACAATGGTAATTTATGGTTATATTTAATATCCACTCAACTTCTAATTCACATTAATTATTCATTAAAGAAAAAAATATTTAATTCAAGTAAGATCATTTTGGATTAAGTAAAACAATACGTTTTAATTATTAATTAATATAAATGTCCTCAACTTTGAATATTTTTTGTAACAGTAATTAATATATTAGTGATAATAAAACAATTATTATTCGACGACTAATTCAATGAAGACTTATTAATTAATTTCTCTTCTACTAGGGAACAAATTTTAACTTAATTTCATTTTTCGTTAATTTTTATTACACTTTGCTACTATTATATAAATATAAATATGTATATACATATGTATGTGTGTGCATTATATCACTATTTAATATTAATTAAACAAAATGTTTTTATTAATCGAAGAAAACTTCAGAATGATAATATTTCAATAATGTAAATGTAAAATTATAATGCAAAAATATTCAATATGCAAATATATGTTAATACCAAAAATTCGAAAGGATTGATGATTATCATTATTATAATTTTACATGATACATATTTTAAATCATTATTATCGACAACCAGTATACATTGGAATTGTTTAGAGAAAGGTTTAAGAGTAACGTCAAATTAATACTATTATTTCACAAAATAAATTAAGATTGAAAAAATCGACACAAAATGTTAAGGTTGATGAAGAAAAATATATTTATTTACTCTCAGGTATGTTATTTTCAAAATATATTACATGTATAAATACCACATGCAATGGAGGTTATATAACCTATAACTGTAACAAACAATGTTACACATACTGTTGTATTAATATAAAAATTTTAGTTTGTAAATATTTTAATATATACATAACCATATAAAACAGTTAAGACTATCACTAAAAATTTGAGTTCCAAATAAATACAGAAATATTAATAGTTATAAAAATTTACAAGATTATACGATTAAAATCTGGCGGGAATTATGAAATCAATTTGAGCTACTTTTTGTATTATATATGAATGTTACAGGTGAAAACATATATTACAAGGGCAGTTTCTACAAATAAAGTGTTTCCTCCAGGAGAAAAATACCTAGAGGTCAAGGAACATAATGGAGTAAGAAGATATATTAAATATACAAAGCTAGTACCAACAAATTTCCTACCAACATTGAATTTAAATTTCAAATATAATATATTTTTTCTGCTACATTTTTTATGTAATTATATAGATATTTTATTAAATTATTTTTTTTGTAATTAGGTAAGGACATTGATATTAAATCATCCTGCTTCTCGTAATTCCTTATCATTGAAAATGATGAAATCTCTGTTAATGAACATTAAGAAGGATGAAGAGAACAAAAATCTTCGATCCATAGTTCTTAAATCTGGTTTGGAACAAGTATTTTCTGCTGGACATAACTTAAAAGAACTGGTTTGTAGATAGACCACGGAATAAAAGTAATGGGGTCTTTTAAAAATTTATATAAGAATTTACATTTACCACAGAGAAATGATTGGCTTGCGTCATTTAGACTGTTAATGATGAGAAACATCACAAGGAAGTCTTTGAAACATGCTCAGAATTGATGCGAGTAATTAATCAAAGTCCTGTTCCTGTAATTGCTGCTGTAGATGGAATAGCAACTGCAGCTGGCTGTCAATTGGTTACAGCATGTGATATTGCTATTTGCACTGAAAAAAGTTCATTTGCTACACCAGGGTATGTATATTTTGCATATTTGATATGAATGTTTATATATTTAATCTTTTTAATGCCCTTCAAATAATGCTCATCTACTATTACTTTTTAGAGCCAATGTTGGGATATTTTGTTCTACACCAGGTATTCCCTTAGTTCGAAATGTTCCCAGAAAAACAGCAATGTACATGCTGTTCACAGGTTTCAGCATTAATAGTAAAGAAGCTTATGAAGCAGGTCTTGTGAGTAAAGTTGTGCCAAATGATAAACTTGGTAAGTTGCTAATTAATTATGATTACCTAATTAAAATACTAAAATACTAAATTTACAAATTTTTATTTTGTTTCATATTTAGAAGAAGAGATTGATAAAATCACTGCAGCTATAAATATGAAAAGTCGTTCGATTGTACATATTGGAAAAACGTTTTTGTATGAGCAAATTGATCTTGATATTTCAACTGCATATTTTTTAGGCACTGAAAAAATGATTAATAATTTAAAAATGAAAGATGCTCAAGAAGGAATGAGAAGCTTTATTGAGAAAAGAAAACCTATTTGGAGTCATAATTACGAAAAAAATTAATACGTTGATGTGAAAGATTTAATATAAGTTAATAATAAAAGAAATTTTATTATTTTTATATATATTATTCTATAATGTTATACTTGTTATGCTTTTTTATTATACCATTACAATTCACTCATGATTAATAAAGTTATTATTTTTGTCACTTCTTTCTCATTTAATTAAATACAATCAGGCTAATATAATCAGATTAAAAAGTAAAGTTTCATATGAAAATATTTTTTTATAATTTTGTTAATTAAGTCGAGGTTTGAATATAATTTCCTGAAATAAAAATATATGGACAACATTTATATACGGTATAAAATATTTTAAAAGTTTTGTTATCAACGGAATTTTATATTAAATAAGGTGAAATGTTTATATTAAACATGTATAACATAAAGCTATTTTTATAAATTCTATATCAAAAACTTTGCTTTCTTTCAATAGAGAAAGATAACGATTATGAGTTCACGAAGTTGAATAAAGTGTTTAGATTTGTATTAATAACTATTATCGTTTACGATAAGCATATACTTATACTCCATTTTTTGAAATTTCTTTTTCTTCTTCTTTCCTAGAATTCATAATATATTTTTTCGCTTTACGCGGTAAGCACTTATGATGAATTTTAGGCGCCTTTTATTTATTTAGTTAAATACGTTTTATTTAAATATCATAATAGTGCAACGAGTATTCTTATATATAAATTTTACCGAAAGTTTAAAACTACAATTTGTTACGTACAAAAGTTCATATCAATATTGATTACGTTTTAAAATATTACGATATGACGTAAATATAATTAACTTTTTGCTCTCAAATCAAAAAGCACAATTTAATGTGCCATGCATAACGCACTTTTATCAATGTGAGCTAAAGATAAGGATAAAAGGAAGTTCAATTAGCTTATTACGTAATTATTACTGTTTAGAAACGAATTGATTTCATCGAACGAGTCACATAGAATATAGAATATTCACATAGAATATATTTTAAAAAATGTTGTGAACTCAGAAATATTAAACGTTATCAAATTTTATTTTTTTCCTGTTATTAATTTTATAAATCTTACATACCTTTCTTCTTTTAACTTATATTTTTTAAGATTTTGTAATAATGTTTCGTAAACATTACGAAATACAAGAGAAATATACGAATTGCATAGGACAGTGATTCCTTTATTCAGTACTAGACATGTAGGTCATATGAAATCATACAGAAGGCGCGGTGCGTATTTTAAATCTAAGAGGTCTTCGTAGAGATAAGAAAGTCGTGGTGGTCGTCAGCGTCAGTAATCAAAGGACGCTGATATCTCGGCTACTTATTACAAAGTACATTCTTTTGCTCTTCTTTTCCCATTTTGTCTCCCGTCGAATCTGTCTCTCCCCACTTGTTCACGAGGCAAGTTCATAACCGACATTATTACATGAAGTTAGTACGACGTTAGTTCCTAATAAAGTCACAGCATCAAGCGTTTTATTTTCGATAAGATAAATAATAAGTGTTTTCGTTTTCACGAAATACCATATTTTTCGAGCACTTTGTGATCGGTCGATGATTGTTTTGAGAAATTTTCATCACGACTATATGAGGCTTGGAGCATTGAAACAAGGTCGAAAGACGTGGTGGATCGAAGAAGCTCAACCTAAAATCAAAATCTGCAACGAGGAAGTTTCGATAAGCGTAAAAAGGAAACTGGCAGAATTACTCTTCGACAGTTGTAAAGGTTTGTTTTATCCTTCAATCTGTAGATGTCGCGATCATGATACTTTGAAGTGATTTACGGTATTATTTTGATGGCGATCGATATCGTTGTTCTGTAATATCGACTTAACGCGAACTACACGGTTGAATATAATAAATGATTTGCTATCTGTGTATTTTCTGTTTTAGATTGTAAAAGAATGGCAGCTATTCCGCAGGGTGCATTTGCTGCGTGCAAAGTCCGCAATAATCTTGAACGCAATGCTTTGATAACATCGATGGAGGAGAAAGAAAAAGGGGGTAAAGAAAATACATTCAACATGCGACCCCCATTGGAAGGTACTTATCAAATGCTGAACTATCATTTACGCATTCTGTTTTTAGGACGCTACGTTTAAACCTCTGGAATGTTGTTTAGCAAGAAAAAGTACTTTTAGGTCATTTCATAGAATGATGTTAATATACAATGGGTATAAAGAGCATCTATGTACCACGGTATTTATTCTTGTATTCATATTGGTTAATCAGACATGTATAGAATATGTTACAAAAATGAAGTCTCTAATTGAGAAACGTGATATATGCAAGTACTTTTTGAACCCATTGATAGTAATATGATTCAATTGAATATTAGTTATTAAAAAATTAACAATTTACTTACTTTAGATTTTTAAAGAATTTTTTGCTAATTATGTAAGTAGTGAAAATAATTAAAATATAATAATAATAATAGTATTATTGTGCAATTACAAATTGTTTTATTTAAAGAACAGAATACTTTAAATTTAAATTTTGTATGACATTAATATTTGTAAAGTATTACTAATGACTTCAGTCTTTTAGATAAAACCACATATTTTTGGTTTATTCAATTTATTGTGTACTACAAGATACATTTATCGAGGTAAATAAAGCAACTTTAATTAGCTGTTTACCACAAATTTTCATGAATCACGGTAGTAGATATATAGTTTAATCATTGTCTTCAACAAGTGATAAAAATAATTAAATTAATGTATGCAGTTACGTGTCTAAATTAATTAATATTTATTTACCTCATTAAATGTTTTTTTGGAATATATGGTAAAATGAATATAATAAAAATATATATTCTCTTTAAAAAATCGATATGAACATTAAAATCGTTGTGAACGATATTGTTATACAGAAATACAAATTTAGTATTATTAATTAATTCTTTAAATCAAATAACATTTATCTAATTAACCTCGTTTTTAAATTTACATTTTTAATAATTGAATGCAAATACAATATTAATTATGGGTACAGATCGATTGAAAATATGTAATTTAATGTAATGTGAATTGGACAAAAATTGAATTTGTTTTTAATTTATAGGTTGGGAACTTACTCCACTAAAGTACAACAGTAAACTAATGAATAGCATCTGGGGACTTTACAACCGTTATTCGGTGCACAATTTCAAGAAAAACAACTCTAATGAAGGGGTGTTTGCAGCGTTCGTGGCGGTTTGGGAGGCTGTTACTCACAGCCATACACCCGCCGTGAACTCGGTGACTGCAACCGCAGTCGCCAAAAATAATTCATAAATTAGATAAAAGAGGGGAACACAATGATATAATCTCGTTTTTATTGTAACAAAAACGTTTGTATGCGTAATGAATTAGCCGTTGGTGAATTATTGCAATAGTATTACACATTTTTTTTTTATTATATTTTTTACTGTATGCAGATGTATGGGATTTTGGCAAGAATTGGTCAAATTTTAATTCGATGCAATGGCAAAGAAAGCAAAGTAGACATATCTGTATTCTGTGTTCTATACGTAATTTAAAACAAATTGTTGTGATATTCATTAACTCAAGGGACTGTTAAAATATAGCTTTATATAAAAATATATAAAGTAATAATATATAGAATTTTACAAAGATAAAAATATATCTATATAAACTTTGTACACTATTATTTAAATATTAAATTTTTTGTACTGTTATTAAATAAATTGCAATAAATCTACATGAAATGTTATTTCACGTATGATCATATGTAATTAAGATTTACATACAATGCTATTTATATTTTTTAAATATTCAAATTTATAAAATTGAAAATTTTATGGATCAAGCTGAATACATTTTCTTAATCAAAATGATCACTTTGATTAGAAAAACTATGTGAAGATAAGGTTAAATCTGAAATTTGCCCCACATAAACAACACTTCTCTCAAAATTATTCAACCACTTATCTTCATTACATTTTTGAGCTTTTTGGCGTATTACATATGTCCTCGGTTTTCTACGTTCTGAAAATTCGTCGATATTACTGGAACAACTAGAAATATTGACTTCTAAATCCAAGGAACCTGATGATGACGATAAATCTGGCTCTTTTACAGACAAGGAAGTTTGAAACACATTATCATTATTAACAGACGAGTTATTTTCTCTCTCTTGCACAGTTTGATTTAAATGAACGTTTCGTTCATTTGTCTTTTCACCAATCCATTGGGTAAATTTATTTCTTTTCTTTTTGCATAAACATTGTTTGCAACGATTTTTCTTAAAATGTGAATAATCCTTCATATTACACACTTCTCCACATACTGTAAAGGTGCTCTCATTCGAATTTCTTATAATCTTTTTCGTAATCACAGCATTCTTTATTCTAGGAAAGCAAAAATTCGATTGCCTAGGATGAAAATTCCTCGCTTTTCTTCTCATTTTTGTTACTTTGGTTTGCGTAGACTTCGTCGCAGACTGTCTGTTGTTAACTTTATTTGGCAAAGATACTTCCCTACCATGTGGGCGGTTCTTAGAGATATACGAATCTGGAAAAATATTCATATCGGAAACGGATGGAAAATATGTTGGATTTTCTACTTGCAAATCTAATTCACAGCTTATTTCAGAAAATCTCGGTGTAAGATTTTCATTTTTTCTTGGAAATATTATTTTGTTATATTCTTCATTTCCATGTCTTTTAGACGAAAAGCCATGATGACCGGTATCATTTACATTTTCCACGTCTATAAATGTGGATGGATATTTCGTGATCCATTGGTATGCCAAACCATCGAGCTTCTCGTTCGTTTGATTACTTTGATTTTTCACGTAGTTAATCTTCGTTGGTGTTTCCCTCGTATCACCCTTTCTTCGAGCACGAAACACGTAATTTAAAAATGAAGATAATGGAGGATGCATATTCGTGCTTGGATAATGCTAGGATAATAAGACACATAAAATTAAATTATTATAGATAAACATTGGTTAACAGTGAACTGCTCAAAACAATTGGAAAATCACATTTTAATAAATAAATCAAGTGTCAGGTAGGAAATGGAAAAATACGTCAGTAAAATAGGTACGAGATTTAATAAGTCTTTTGTTTTATTAGCATAAAGTAATGTCAAAAAATAGCAGCATTAGCTTTTGTAATTTTTCATTCAAATATATATATATATATATAAATATATAAATTTGAAATCAAATTAAGTTTATTACATTAAAATTTTATGTGAAATGCAATTTTTGATTGCTCAGATTGGTAGTAACAGGACATAACAAATAACAAAAATTAGCAAGTTTATAAAAAGTAAAAATGATTTATGACATATAAATCTTGCGATATGAAACATCGATATAAAAATTATTCATAGCTATTATAAAATAGTTACAGTACAAAGTAACAATGAAACATGTAATTTATCCAATTCAGAAATGGATTTTATTTATTTTTAACATTCGACTCACATAGTACAAAAAACAAATTAGAAACGCGATTTTCTGATTACTTTGAGTAGCATAAATTAACTAACTAATAAATACTTCAATATATTAAGAAAATCATATACCTTTTGACTTTTACCGAGTTTCTGTTCTTTTCCCAATGAGTACAAGCTTAGCACTTTCTTCATATATTTCTTAAATTTGCGTAAAACGTTAATTTCGCCACCTCTATTGCATTTGAAATCATTTTCACATAAAGCATCATGACCGTTTCCTAAATAGGTAGTCCTTAATGTATTAATTTCTGCACGTAACTCGTCCAAGTTATTGGTAAGTATATTTATCTGATCAATCACTTGACCCATTTTCCGTTGGTCGCGGTAACATGCCTGCGTGCCTAACATGCTGATCATAACAAGATCAGCTGTCCGAAATATACAATTTCCAAGAAAGGTTATGTAATATGATATTCTTTAATGTATCACGTGTATCGCCGACACAATTTGAAACTAGAAATAATACATCCTTCAGTGTCGAAAAGATACAGAGTATTAACTTTCTTCTCCATAATAGAACGTCAACATAAACACGTATTAAATTTTCACTTCCGAACAGTAACGCCAGAGAGCCTCGGCGTAACCATCGATACAAAACATAACCAAGAAAGGAAACTAGAATTTACTAACATGTACATACTGAACTAGAAGGAAGAACGATTGACAATCGGAAGATTTAAATGTTTTGGAAAGCAATCAGGATCTCTGAGCTCGTATTAAATATCATTTATTTGATTCGTCGTATGTCTAGGTACATTAGTCGTCAGTCGGTGTCGTGTATCATAACGGATCGACGCGTGATGTTTGGTTTAATACAAAATGGAAAAAAAAGAGGAGGAGGGAGAAAGAAAGAGAACTCTTTCTCCCTAGCACGTAAATCGACACGTAATACTATACTCGTATTTTTAATATGTACAATTATTTATTACCCTTTTCTATGACATTGGCCTCCGTTTTAAAATAATTATCATTTTTCACAGGACAGGCGCAGATTTTGGCTTTCCCGCATCGGGTTCCTCCAAAAAGCGTTATAACAATTACCGCGTCAAGATGCAAAAATAACAATAAAAATAGATAAAAATGATTAACATTATCGCGCAAACATCGACGAAGAATTTCGCGCGTTACATGTACACCTAAGTTTCGTTCCCGCGTTTTTTCAAACCGCGAAAAGAACCGATTAGAGAATTTCCGTTCCGTGATTCGTTGTTCCGTAAATTATATCGTATTGTTTGCTAAATTCGAGCTGTAAAATGGCATCGTTATCGTACTTCAATAAATTAACCGTACAAAAAGGGACTGTTGCATTTAACATGATCATCACAATGATTCGTAGTTTCCCTCATTCTGTATATATATGTACTTATATATATGTTCTTTTTTTCTTTTCTTTTCTCGCAATAGACTTGCACACAGGCGTTTCTGGAATGCTGTTGTCGATCGAATATCATCTCGCATTTCGTTCACCCATCGATTATTAAACGTGTCGTAAGGTGAACCGTGTGTACTCTTTTGCTCTAGTAAGTTTTCCTAAAATCGAGGTAATCGGGTTGCACGTTACGTCGCCTACGAATCTCATTTGAACAATACCTTGTCCGTGGGTCTTCGGAGAAGAAGCGAGTACAGACGACTATCGAATTACAATCTTCTTATACTTCTTCTTACGTTTAATTTTTATGACATACCATTGGAAACAGATCCTGACCGTTTTACGCGACCTAATAGGTTAGCAACGAACATCAACAACTACTACTGTTCCTGAATACATATGACCCGCGAGAATGAGCGATACACATCTCAATTTCGGTTCTTATCTATAATACTGATAAACGTTAATGAAAAAAAGACGAAATCGCTAATGACAAAGAATAATCGCGCCGCTTCTCGCCGAAGGACCCTTCTTATCACCGATACGAGCTAACAATCGTTCCTCCAGCGTTCGTCGCGCGCATCGGGCGCATCGACTATCTTAATACTTAACATCTAACACATAACCTAACGCGTCTAACGGTATTATAAATAACATAGAAGACGAAATATCAGAGAAAGAAGAAGTAGAAGTGACTGATTTAATCTCCGGCTGTTGACCATAGAGCAATAACAGACTAGCAGACACCGTCTTCCCTTGCGTTCTGGCCGTTTTGGTGTTCATTTCTTGGTCCCTCTTTCTCTTCCGTTTTGTTTTTGTGGCACAGCCTTGTTCCTCCTACTCCGTCTAAGATCACGGCCCTCCCCTTCTTGTGGATCTTCCTCTTCACAATCGACGAAGACGACAAGAATTTTTGTGCAACGACATAGCCGGGATTTAAAGGAGGGCACAGATCTAAAAAGGACACGTCCTGGTCCTGGAGAGGATTCTCACCCGGATTTTCATCGCCACCCACTTATTAATGCATTTGGGCGGCACATTCCAGTGTTTTGCTCTGAGCTCGGCTTTTCGTGTCCCGCTCATCGGCTTGTTTCAGAATGTAACTCTTCGAATACTCTCGGGCGTGGATGTGCACAGGTGTCATGTGCTTTCCATGGACTAGCTCAGTTTAATCGGCCGTAGTACGGTCTGTCGGGAATTCGGGGAGGAATATTGGGTACGGGACGCCTATAACACAGACAGTGATTAAGTACTCGGTGCTTCTTGCTGAAATGTTCGAAACGCGACGATTGATTGCTTTAACAAACGGCTAAAATGGTGATGAATTCTCACAATCAACGTGAAACATAATTTCTCGCCCTTTAAATGCGAACATATTGAAAACTAAATAAAATTTTGTCGAATTTCGTACTTTCAAATTTTACGTCAAATTATTTCGTGCTTGAAACTATATTATCTGAAAGAATTGGGATTTTTAATTTCTAAATTGAAATATTTAATATGTCATACCTAGAAATATTTTGCAATAAAAAATTAATTTCAGGGCTGAGAGAACGTAGTTCCAGGGGGCACCAGTGGCCAAAATATAAAATTATAGTTGCATCTATTAATTATTTTCTGAAAAATAAAGTAAAATTTTTGTATCATAACGTATATATATACAAGTAATTGAATTCTATTTATAAAGATATTATGAATACAACCATCTTCATTGTAATAGCTGATTGTCGAGTAGTCAATGACGCCATAATGGCAGTATTGGTCCAGGAAAGTGCTAGACTATAGACAGAATTAAATGTATAGTGTGGAAATTTTATTATTAATATTTTGGAAACCAAGATATACTTGCAGCTAAAATTTTATATTTCAAATTTACCGCCCTCCCTACCGTTTTTTTTTTAAACTTCGCGCTAATTGATTTTAGCGCCATTATTCGCGGAATACAAAAATATAAAATCGACAACAATCGCAATTGCTTTATTTCGCATTTGAAGGGCTAGCAAACTGTGTAATTAACCAATTAAATCTACTACTTTTTTTTTTTTTTAGCACTTGTACATGATGATTTTAAGTAAACAAATTGAACTGTGCATATTTACTTTACTAAGCCATGATATGAGAATAAATGTACTATATGTAAAATAGAATATATCTTATATGCTGAAAAACCGATGATGAGAAAAATAACAGTATAATCGCCGAGTGTATCATTATGAAATATAAAATGCAACGAACATATTATGGTCTTCAGTATGTATAGATACAAATAACAATAACGATGAAAATACGCAATGAACTTGTTCTGTAACACGAAGCACACAAATAAGTTATTTATAATGAATAAGTGAATAAATGATACAATTAAAGACAACGCGTATGGGATGATTTGCAAAAAAAAAAGGAAAAAAAAAATAAAAGATCCAAGATTTGCACAACATGCTCAAGCAGTAGCAAAACACATGCAAAAATGAACGTATATAAAGGACGTTCGTTCTACTATCTGTCAGAACCGTTTCCTTTTCACCTTTAAATTTACAAACCACTCGACACCTTCAATTGGACTTTTAACTTTAATTGCGTCTTTCAAACGTCCTTTGGATACAGATAAATACAATAAAATTGAGACGTATTTATAATACTTCACGAGATAAGATCCTGGATGCTTTTAAGGGAAAATATTAAAATGGGTAGCAGATCTGGAGTGGTGATTTAATTAAAGAAAAAAAATAAATAAATAAATAAGTAAAAAAAGAAAAAAAAGAATATTACGCAGAACGCGAATACGCATTCCAGCGTACGGGGTAATCAGGACAATGTCGTACATTCTCTATTAAAAATAATGCTTGTTATTTGCACGCCAACGGTACATGGAATCAAGCGAAAATCAGAGAGGAATTAGTGGAACATGTAAAAAACATGGCGTATGTCGACAGTTGACAATCAAAACGGTCAAGTATAACACATCGAATACAAGTGTTACAACAACTAGAACATTATCCAGCCGCAGAAATCAGACGCCAATTTCAGCGGACACTAATTTCCCCAGCGGAAATGCGTTTCCGGTTATCAGATAATAACACACACCTCTCCGAATTCTCGTCTTGTACACATACGTGTGTATATAT